CATGCCCCGCCCGAGTGTTGAGTGTTGAATGAAAGTTGTGTTTTACCGTTTATTTTTATTCACATATTGCTATGTTTTATATTGCACCCCCCTTTCCTATGAATGTAAGCCGCCCTGAGTCCCCTCAGGGAAAAGGGCGGCCTATAAATTCCAAATAAATGAAAAAAATGAATGAATGAATGTGGTGGATGCTGGGCCCTGTTGCACTGTACCAATTGCAACGGGATCCAGAACCCACCACTGGGGGTGGGTGGGTAAAAAATGAGCATAAGAAGACATTTCATTCTAATGATCACTAGATATTTTGGACTATGAATCTCACAATGGACAAATCAGGTTGGTTTGGATTAATGAAAAATGTCCAAAAAACCAGGACAGTACCACTTCGCTTACTCTGCCTTAGGTAATTAAATTCCAGTTGTCAAAACCACAAGACAACTCAGTTTTATACTACATTTGCCTTCCACAAAAGATTAGAAAAAGTAAAGGTGCCATAATCTGATTGTTTTTCTCATTGATTGCTCATATTCTGGCCCCAAATTACCTTTAAATCCTGTTCCAAACTACGGAGAAGTTCTCCATCAATTTCTCCAGTCTGTGCGTAGCGTAGCTTCTTCCGCTCTGCTTTTCGAAGACGATACTGAAGGATCCTACAGTTTTTGTTAGCTCTCTCCAATTCGTGGCGCGCTTCCTGAAGCTGGCAAGCATCTTCTTCAAAAAAACTGTCCCTCATCTCATCCATTTCAGTTCTAAGTTCATCTATTTCATTCTGGCACATGTTCAGAAAGAACAGATAGAAAACATAAAATGACATCAGGTCACATTGATAAAGAACACAAGATAGGGTAATTTACCCATGGTTCTTAAATAACTGTTTTAATCGAGGCATATGGTTCCCCATCTAGCTTCCTTAGGCTTGCAAGTATTACAAATGGCAAGAAGAAAAAACGGTGATCCCAAATTAAGAATGCATCCATTTATATTTCAAATATTCCTTGAATTGGCCAAAAGAAAACACTAAAAAAAGCATGTGCAAATGTAGCAGAATGAAACTGCTTCATAAGCCAGAAGGAGAATTCCCTATTATGTCAGCCATGTATGTTCTATAATACATATATGTGACAATGAGAAGTTTGAAGAATGGAGTAGAACATCTCGCAAATCATATTCAACTATGTATATTTTTTATCTCTTACAGGTGCAATAAACGTAGAACATTTATTTAGAAAATAATAATTTCTAAATGTCCATAACTCAGGGAATCTCAAATTGGATTGAGGCCACTAGAAAATCAACAGTAATTTAGAGGATAATAGTAATTTCTCTAAAATGCAAGCAAAGCAGAAGTATTGTCAAATCAAGGTATGGTTTTCTGATCCACAGCTTGCCTTAGCAAGTCCATAGAGGGCAGTTACTATACCACAAAGTCTGAAAATCTTTAAGGAACATACATAAAAATGTAACTATTAAACATGCATGTCATACTCTACTCACATCTTGTCCAATCCTAAACCATGAAACCATTATCTTCATTTTATATATTTGATTCATTTATTAGATTTATACCTTGCCTTTATTTTGTGTAACTCAATTTATGGGAAGACACAGATTATTATTTTACGGAGTTGTAAGTAACACTAGGTTATTAACTCTGTTACTTTGTCAGTTTGCTGGATTGAACCTCGTATTAATTTATATAGCGATAGTCAATTTGGTACACAATAGGAAAAGCAAATCAAAGGTTATCCTCTAGAATATAGGATTTAAAAAATCCTGCAAATACTGTATTATATTCACATCAAAGTTCATAGCCAAGGATTTATGCACTCCCTCCCCTCCCCTTCTCTTAAACTAGGAAGCAAACCATAAGTATTTCAACAACAATTTGGTCTCTTCAAAGCAGAATTTACTGTTAGCATTCCTTCTCCTTTCTTCTGTGGAACAAACTAGAACACCACCAGCATGTGCACATACACACTAGAACCGAGGCACACCCCCATTATTCCTTCTCTTCTGTATCTTTTGCTTACCTTGAGGTTTTCATTCTCCTCCTCCAGTTTCTCCATCTCTTCCTGCAGCTCCTGCTGCTGAAGCTGGGATTCCTGGGTCACATTGCCTTCCATAGTTCCACTGAGGCCATTGCTACTTTCATTTGCAGGCAGCACTATGGATGTGGAGGAGGGCAAACTGCCCCCATTGCCATTAGCTTTGTTGTTACCTTTGTTCTGCATCTGCGTTGCTGATAACCCTTTCCTGAGATGAAACTGAATGAGCTCACTTTGCAGGCATCCTTCTTTCCAGTAGTTGCCATTGTTCACTGAGAGAACCTGGCCTTTCCCTGAACCACAAGAAGATGAAGATGATGAAGTTGCCTCTCCTGAACTCTTCTGTGAAGGCTTGTTTGTTTTACCCCTGTTCCAGCTCTTGGATGGCAACTGAGAAAGCACAAAACTGCCCACCCTTTCCCCCTTCCCTCCAGATACAAGCTGTTGCTCTCCAGCTCTAGGACCTGTAAGCTCGGTGTCTTTGGGAGGTGCCTCTCTTACTTCGGCTGCAGGCCCTGGATTTGACCTGGGACACACTCCCGCCGAGACCAGGAATGAGGCTGGCTGCTCTTCAGCACCATCCCCAGCATGGACAGCTCCCAACAGCACTGAGCTCCTTGTTGGCGTAACCTGTGGGGGAAGCTTGTCTCCTTCACCCTTGACCCGGCTAGTTTTCTGTCCTGTTGGTGACTGCTGCAGTAGCTGCTGCCGGGTAGAGCTTGCTTTTGAGGCAGGAACTGCAGCTGCTGCTGTTGTGAAGCGGGATGAATTGGCAGCTGGCAAAGGCTGGCGGACAAGAGACTCCTTGGGTCTCCCCGGAGAGAATGCACGCTGCTGCTTAGTTCGGCTGCTGCTGCCCTCAGGAAGCAAACGAGGAGAGGAGGTTGCAGCACCGCCTCCACTAGGCGGCTGGCTCATGGCTAAATCCAAGGTGTTGCTGAAATATTCAGCCCTTTCTGGCTCATTGTCTTCCTGCCCTTCCTCCCTCCCTCGGCCGGTGAGCGAAGCACACAGAAGCCTTGTCAACAGCACTGCCCCTCAATACAAAGCAAGCCTATTCACCACATGAAGAACAATGTGCCTATAATAAAAGGGGTGGAGTTTGAAATTGTTCCAAGAGGTTAGCTCACAATCTTAGAGGCAAAAGATGCAGCCACTGACTGGAAGCTTGCTTTTAAATTCCTGAAGCAACAAGCAGTCCTCATTTGTCATGTGAACGGACCGGATCCTCTAGCTGAAGCTACTTTTCTTAAAGGGCTACTTTCACAAACCACATGTTCAAAAGTACTTCCACAGGTCAGTGAGGATGGATCCATTCAATAGCTTCAAAACAGATCTGCCTACAAGGTCCAGCATAGTTAAAAACAGTATCTTCTAGTTGGAAGGAAAAAACTGTGATGAGACTTAAAACAATCTATATTTAATATGCTGTAAAACAAATCAATAAGAGATCTGTTAGAAAACTCTAATTCCACATATGCACCATATCTTTAATACTGGTTTTTAATTAGAACAAGTAACAGGTTCCCTCCTACCTTCTTCCCATATTTTACCCATGCTTCCTAACAAACTCTGAATGTGTTGAGAGGTATTCAGGTACAATGAAAACTCAAACAATCATGATTAAAAAATAAACAGTTAAATTTATTCAAATAAGAACATTAGTGAAGGGAGGAAGAGATTGAATAAATGGCTTTCAGTAGGTACATCTTTAAGCTATTAATTGTAAAGTCAAAAGCAGCGTTAAGACACTTCAGTCTGAAGCAAGCCCCAATGAATACAAGTTACAAAGCAAAGTGAATGTAGTGTTGCAGCCTTCGTGTAATTCAAATTCAAATTTTGCTGTTAGCTTTTAAAAATTGTCAGTTTGTTTTACAGCACAACTACACCAGCCAAGTGTTTCTTTCCAAGTACTAGAAACAAGAGTGTGAAATAAGAAACAATCTTCATTCTTGAATAAAGGATGGATTGATTTGTAAGGCTTAGCTAAATTTGCATATACATCCATTTGTAAAGTGAACTTCTGTTTACTCCACCTCATATGAACACCAAAGCAAAGGAAATGTATGAAAAAGTTTCACAGAAGAGTATCAACCATTTGTTTTAATTATAAACACAGATGAACCACACCTTCCCTAGCTGGGTATTCTCCAAATACTTTTAGTGTCCTGTTTTCATTGTTCTCCCTAGATGATCACATCTGGCCCGAGATTCTGGGAACTATATTTCAATACAAGAAAGGCATCAAGTTAGAGAAGATTGATCTAATTACTAAGCCCTGATTAAGTAGGATTTTTTTCTTGCTGTATTTGCATAGATGCAATAGTTTGCATAACAGAAGCAGAATCCCAAAGTGGATTTGTTTGATTAAATATAAAAAAGTAGCCTATGATTCTTAAAACTTTCTCAAGGTGACCTCTCTTAGCCAATATTTTTATTTATTTAAGTAATAGATTTATAGGGCTGCTCAATGTAATTCTCTGTAGCATACAGCAAGACTCAAACAAAAACATTCCCAAATATGACTTTTTTTTTTTAAAAAAAAAAACCACCTGATGCTGTAATATGTTTGGCACAATAATAATCTTTACCATGTCACTGAAGCATTAAATTTACTATATGACTCTCAGTATTATTATTAATTGTATAAGTGCATACCTATTTAATCTTGTCATGAGTAAGTTGTCCTCAGATCCTAACAATTTACTACAGGTTATGAACTAAAATGTGTCAGAGTAAGACAATGTTTATTTGAGTACTACTGATGCAAAGATTATAATAGGTGGCTCACAAAATTATAATAACAATGATGACAAAGTATTTTAAAAGTGCCCTAACAGAAATATCTTACAGTGCAGGTAGCTACAATCAATTAGTTATCAAAGGATGAGAGCGATTAAAAATAAGAATCTTCAATACTCCAGAATCCCAATTTTAACAAACACACACAAATCATGAAATAGACAAGATAAGCAACAATTCTACTTTGTGTATAAGTTTCTTTTGAGTCCAGTGATGGGTAAGTAAGCCTGTTTGGCACAAAAAGCTTTGCACTTTTCAAATGCCTTTATTTGCAAACAAGCTGTAAAACTCATATCTAAGGTCTATGTAGATTGGATTTTACTCCATGTTTTACAAATACTTTAAAATCTGGATGTCAAAGTTTTATCAAAATGCCTTTTCGGTTCTTTAAAACAAAGGAAAGAGAACAACGTTCTATTTAAGGCTTGGGGAATTATCCGAATGCCACCTCTCCTTACAGCAATTAATTGACTAATACAGCAATTAACCCTTACAACAACCGACCTACCTGCAGTACCAGCCTTTTTCCTCCGAAATTTCCGCGGCGGCACATCGAACTGCCAGGTTAGGCCAACCGCCGGCTCTCAAGGGCATCCGCCGAGGGATCCCTTCACGGCTTGGCGACCCCAAGCCCAGGCTGCTCATCCATCCGAATAAACGTGGCTCGCACTCTACGGCGTCATAACCAATGAGAAATCTTGCGATGCTGCTCTCAGTTCAACCCCGAGCGACTCGTATCCTCTTCTGTCGGTAATTAGAAACACTACTAAAGCCAATCTGGACCCAACACCAAGAAGCTTCCCGCTACCTCCCCTCTCCCCGCAGCTCCACATTGGTCTCCCGGGATCTCGTCACGTGGGGAATCAAAGGAGTGGAGGAACGTCGCGACGCTGCCCGTTTCCCCACTGAAAACAGTTGCCAGGAGTGGGGGAGGAGGAGGAGGAGGAGGGAAGAAAGAGGAGAAACAAAAGAGAAGGTCTCGAAGCGCCAGGCTAGCGCCAAGCATCCCTCCATCACCCCACACGCCAGAATCTCTTTGTCATTGCATTGACTTCCCATCGGTAATCGCTTTGCAAAGTCCCCTTTTTGTTGCAATCGATGAATCAATGAACACCCTTTGCTTAGGCACTGCGGGGTCACTGGGGGGTCACTCCCCCCATATTCCAAGAGACTCTCAAACTTGTTCGGCTTTTCGCTTTGCTGAGCAGCAATGCGACGTCCCTCTCCCTCCTCAACCTGAGCGCTGACTTACCCTGCCCGACTTCGTGACAGCCACCCCGGGGATGCGCGAAGACGCCCCAAGCCGAGTCAGGGCGTCTCGGGAAACTGCAGCGGTTTTATTCCGACGCTGACCTCATTGGGCCTGGGAAAGAGCGGAGGGGGGGGGGCGGTAGGAAGAAAAGAAAGAGGAAGGGAGAGAATTGGGGGAAGTAGCGAGGCCAGATGAAAAGCGCAATGCTCGGCCACGCCTAGGCAGGCCTAAAGGCTCTGGTCGGAATTAGATTCCNGAAATATCTACAAGAAAACAACCAAACTCAGAGAGAACCAAGGACCTCTAATTTCATCCCCGAGTTACAAATATTCTCCTTTATTGGTAGAATTGACAAATTAAAAAGTGGGTTGACTCAAATATTGGTAAGCTGATAGTTTCGCTTTTACCCATCATTCTTACTTTTGCTTATATGTCAAAATGAAGACTGACAAGGCAGATGGCAAGAGACCTGGCTGCAGTTACTCCCTCTGCTAGTCATCCTCTTCCCTATTTTAGCCAAAGAAAAAGGAGGCAAGCAAACTATTCCGAAGGGGGCTCCAAAATCAAGCTAAGGTCCCACTCCCATTAACCTCGTCACTCTCATCTTTATCCTCATCCTCCCAGGCCTTGCCCTGGAGTCCCAGCAAAAGATTGGTGGCTATAAATTATTTTATAGTTATGCTGTCTATGGGCAGAAAACCCTCCGTTAAGGAAATCACCCAACAACTACCTGGCTATCTTTTTTTCAGAGCCAAATTAAGACATTCTCCCAGGCAACTGGCATTTTAGAATTAAACAGTTAAGTTTCAGTTGTAAACTGTAAAGTATCAAATTATGCTGGCATAATACCTCTTACATGTTTTTTTCCCCCGTGCTATTTATTGTGTATTTCAATTATAAATTAAGATTTTTAACTGTCTTTTTCCTAGCTATATAAGTTTTATAAATCCTTTAATAATATGGGTGAATTTTTAAAAAGCTAACAAATGACTATTTACTATTTCACTTTTTAGCCAACCTACAGAGCTCTTACTAGGTACAGTAAGTATCCAATAATGTCTTCCTCTTATGCTCTACTTGTACAAAACCTAAGAATCCAGTATTGGAACCATAATCTATGAAATTTAAATTGCGGTCATAGAAATTAAAGGGTGTCTTCTTCATCTCACATAACTACACATGAAAGTAGCAATAGCAAAAGCACTTATTGCTTATTATACTGCTTCATAGTGCTTTTACCTCCCTCTCTAAGCCATTTACAGAGTCAGCATATTGCCCCAACAATCTGGGTCCTCATTTTACCCACTATGGAAGGATGGAAGGCTGAGTCNAGGTGACCTCTCTTAGCCAATATTTTTATTTATTTAAGTAATAGATTTATAGGGCTGCTCAATGTAATTCTCTGTAGCATACAGCAAGACTCAAACAAAAACATTCCCAAATATGACTTTTTTTTTTTAAAAAAAAAAACCACCTGATGCTGTAATATGTTTGGCACAATAATAATCTTTACCATGTCACTGAAGCATTAAATTTACTATATGACTCTCAGTATTATTATTAATTGTATAAGTGCATACCTATTTAATCTTGTCATGAGTAAGTTGTCCTCAGATCCTAACAATTTACTACAGGTTATGAACTAAAATGTGTCAGAGTAAGACAATGTTTATTTGAGTACTACTGATGCAAAGATTATAATAGGTGGCTCACAAAATTATAATAACAATGATGACAAAGTATTTTAAAAGTGCCCTAACAGAAATATCTTACAGTGCAGGTAGCTACAATCAATTAGTTATCAAAGGATGAGAGCGATTAAAAATAAGAATCTTCAATACTCCAGAATCCCAATTTTAACAAACACACACAAATCATGAAATAGACAAGATAAGCAACAATTCTACTTTGTGTATAAGTTTCTTTTGAGTCCAGTGATGGGTAAGTAAGCCTGTTTGGCACAAAAAGCTTTGCACTTTTCAAATGCCTTTATTTGCAAACAAGCTGTAAAACTCATATCTAAGGTCTATGTAGATTGGATTTTACTCCATGTTTTACAAATACTTTAAAATCTGGATGTCAAAGTTTTATCAAAATGCCTTTTCGGTTCTTTAAAACAAAGGAAAGAGAACAACGTTCTATTTAAGGCTTGGGGAATTATCCGAATGCCACCTCTCCTTACAGCAATTAATTGACTAATACAGCAATTAACCCTTACAACAACCGACCTACCTGCAGTACCAGCCTTTTTCCTCCGAAATTTCCGCGGCGGCACATCGAACTGCCAGGTTAGGCCAACCGCCGGCTCTCAAGGGCATCCGCCGAGGGATCCCTTCACGGCTTGGCGACCCCAAGCCCAGGCTGCTCATCCATCCGAATAAACGTGGCTCGCACTCTACGGCGTCATAACCAATGAGAAATCTTGCGATGCTGCTCTCAGTTCAACCCCGAGCGACTCGTATCCTCTTCTGTCGGTAATTAGAAACACTACTAAAGCCAATCTGGACCCAACACCAAGAAGCTTCCCGCTACCTCCCCTCTCCCCGCAGCTCCACATTGGTCTCCCGGGATCTCGTCACGTGGGGAATCAAAGGAGTGGAGGAACGTCGCGACGCTGCCCGTTTCCCCACTGAAAACAGTTGCCAGGAGTGGGGGAGGAGGAGGAGGAGGAGGGAAGAAAGAGGAGAAACAAAAGAGAAGGTCTCGAAGCGCCAGGCTAGCGCCAAGCATCCCTCCATCACCCCACACGCCAGAATCTCTTTGTCATTGCATTGACTTCCCATCGGTAATCGCTTTGCAAAGTCCCCTTTTTGTTGCAATCGATGAATCAATGAACACCCTTTGCTTAGGCACTGCGGGGTCACTGGGGGGTCACTCCCCCCATATTCCAAGAGACTCTCAAACTTGTTCGGCTTTTCGCTTTGCTGAGCAGCAATGCGACGTCCCTCTCCCTCCTCAACCTGAGCGCTGACTTACCCTGCCCGACTTCGTGACAGCCACCCCGGGGATGCGCGAAGACGCCCCAAGCCGAGTCAGGGCGTCTCGGGAAACTGCAGCGGTTTTATTCCGACGCTGACCTCATTGGGCCTGGGAAAGAGCGGAGGGGGGGGGGCGGTAGGAAGAAAAGAAAGAGGAAGGGAGAGAATTGGGGGAAGTAGCGAGGCCAGATGAAAAGCGCAATGCTCGGCCACGCCTAGGCAGGCCTAAAGGCTCTGGTCGGAATTAGATTCCGGCCCTCCGTGGCAGGAAGGAAACCGAGGTGCTTTCGAAAATCAGTTCAGGAAACGATCGATCCTGATCAAATATTTATTCCGTTTTGAACAGCGTCGACCCTGCAACAATACCGTGTAAGGTGCTTCCTGATACAACGCGATCGCTCTGGGGCTGCCTTTTGTTCTGGGGCTTAGGTTAAATTGTGCTTCAGACGTATATTTTGTTCAAGGGCGCAAGGCTATTAGTGCCAGAGGCAATGCCTGCGACTCCTGCTAATTTCCCCGGATCGAGAGACTAATCCTCTTGTGCTTTAGGCAGTGGTTTCCAATTCTTTTATACCTAAGTTATTTTGTGAATGGAACAGCTTGCCTTCAGACTTTATTGGTTCTTCATCACTAGAGGTTTTTAAGAAGAGTCTGGACAGCCACTTGTCTTAAATTGTATTGTGTTTCCTGCTCTATTCTGATTTATTGATTTATTGAATTAAAATAGGCATTTCTGGCTTAGGCCTGATATTCGGCCACATATAACTTTCTTTTCAATGTAAAACCTGCATCCATTTCTCATTTAATTTTAAAGTTGCTGTCATCAAATTTAAAGAGTTACTTAAGAGAAGTATCTGCTTCCTATTGCATGAAATCACAGTTGTTTAGAGCCCATAGAAGATTCAATTCCACGAATTTTGTTAAATGTGCTTGATTAGATTTCTATCCCACCTTTCTTCCAGAAACTCAAAACAGCACATGTAGCATCCTTTTTTCCAATTTCCCCCCAAAACACCAACCCTAAGCATAAGCTTCCATGGATATCTTGTAATGTTGATCTGCCCAATTTTGGTCCTTCACCGCATTTAGTACTTTTATATGATAGATTAGAAGTAGCTTATCAATTAACAATAGGTTAAAAACTCATTGTGTTATTCAACCAAAATTCTTAATACGGCTGAGACAATTACTCTGTTACAGCATGAACTTTTATTTCAGGTGATATGGACAGAAGTAGGAGGAGAGCCATGGGAATCTACGGTAGCAAAAAATCTGGCAATACCTTTTCCAGCTAACAAATTTGATTAAAAGATCTAAGCCAAGGGTGTCAGACTCAAGTTGTCATGGTGGGGTCAAATGATGTATCAGGACTTTTTTCCTCTTTGCTAAACCGGGTATGGGCATGGCCAGCACATGACACATCAGGACCAGGAGTTTGACAGCCCTGGTCTAAGCTTTCATGACATGCAGCTTGCTTGATCAGATGCATAGAGTGGCTAATCTGATGAAGAATTTAAATTGGGATAAAGTGGAGGAAAGGGAGG